TGGACAAACCAGCATGGAGGCTGCTGTTGGAGGAGAACTCAGTGTGGTGCAGGCAGGGGCACTCTGCTGGATCACCCTACCAGTCAGGCACAGTCCACCAGCACAGGAACTATGATAAGGACCCCCAGGAGGTAACTAGGGGCTGCACTACAAGCAGGCTTAGCGAGGCTAGAGCCCTGGAAGAGGCCAGAAGACTGAGGGGTGGCTCAGGTCACACTAGCTCTGTCTCATGGGCAAGACCACCCTATAGAGTTCAGGTTTGACACTTCCTCTATGGCTAAAGCTTTTATGGGAGCAAGTTGAGCCTAGAGGAATGGACATCCCTAGTCTGCTCCATTACAGATGCTCCCATGCCAAACCCTCTGGGCACTGGCTGGAATTCTTCCCTTAATGCTCCTTACTTCTCTAAGCACTATCCATTGTGGCTGAGGGGTCTCCTTCTATGGGGATTCCAGAGGTCCATGGTGATAGCAGGTTTCTTCTTGACTGCTCAACTCACACCATCCACAGTAGTCACTGGGGTCAGGGAACATGTGGTGTGTGGTTGCACAATGCAGGGTTCCTAGCCTTCTTCTCCTTTGCACAGCCTCTGTGTCTTTGCTTTATCTGCTCTCAGTGCTTTCCCTTTGAAGATTTGCTATGAGTTTCCCTGTCTTCCCAATATCCTGGTCCCTTGTTCCCCCTGGCTGCATCTAGTCAGCCATTTTGGAGCAGGAATTCAATCTTTGCTTCCATTTCAGTTGGAAAAAAAAAAGTTAGACTAATTGCAGAAGGATACTCAAAATATTAACTTTTGTCTAAATGGAAGTGAGACTCTAAGGAAGTTGAAATTTTAAAAAGTAAAGCTGTTTTTAAAATAATAAGTAAATTGGAGGTAGAAACTACAATACCCAGGGATCACTGCTAGAACATTACATTGCTTAATAATCTAAGAGTTTTTCCTAACCTTCATAACCAAATAATTTTATCTTTCTATGTTAGGAGGCTTTCTCCTCAAAATAGTTTCAAATTGTGTTATAGATTTGTACCTATGATTTGAAAACCATATACTATATGTATAGTTCATTGTGAAAGGAAGATTCAGACACATAGTACATATCTAGTACTTACATTTTCCTCAAAGAAGGACCAAAACAGCAAGTAGGTAACAATATGTCAGGTAGAATATCTAGGGAAGAATTAATGAATCCAGAAGGAAAACAGTAGGGACCCTCTGAGGCACGGAAGTTTGAGATGGCAGCATAGAAAAGGCACTAAGTTGGATTGGCTCACACCTGGGAGGGATGCTCCAATACAGGAGAAATAGTAAGTAAGAGATTCCTAGCAGTCCACGTTCCAACACAAATGCCTGCAGTACCAGCTACAAGAAAGCCCTTTGGCCCTTTTGGGCCCTGTGCCTAGTATAAGTAGCTTCCTGGAGTCCACAAGACTGCATTTTTCATGGAGGAATTAATGCTGGAACCTCTGGGACCCAAGCTGCTGCAATATGATGCTATTTTGAAACCAGAGTCAACACCAAACTACATCCTGCCCTGGTGCCCAATGACTCCTGCATCTCCAACATCCCTCTACATCCACCCAGAAGGCTGCAGTGTTGCAATGCCAGCTGACTCAGTAGTTTAACTGCATTTCTGGCACCCAAACCTTGCAGCACCCTACATCCCAGGGAACAGGTGATCCAGTACATTGGAGAGGCAACCTACCCAACATAAGGAACTGAAGTGTACACTTACATATCCCACCCAGGGACCAGGGATCAGCCTGCCCACTACACTAAAGATACTGCCAATGCCCACATGGCCCATGCAGGGACCCAGGGATCAGTCTGCCTGCCCTACTGTGGACACCACTAGTGCCTTTATACCACACCCAGAGGCCTAGGGATTGGGCCACCTTGCTCACTGTTGGTGCCCATGAACATCACTTTCACTGCTGGCGCCCATGCCTGCCACCTAGTGGCCTCGGGACTGGTCCTACTGGCCTGCTGCTGACACCACCAGTGTCTGTGCACTCCACTCAGGCACCAAAGGACCCACCTGCTATTGCCACTGCCAGCGCCTATGCACCCTACCCAGAGAACCAAGGAGCAGACCACTGGCATCTGCATGTGCCACCCAGGGACCCAAGTACTGGTCCACTGCCATTACTGCTGATGCTCACATACATCACCAAGAGGTTTGAGGACCAGCCTACTTGGCACTTACGTCCCCAGCAAATCCTCACTACAGCCTCTACAAACAACTTCAGCCTATGCCACTAAGACACTTACAGACATCTCTGATACTGATTACAACCAAAGTAATCACATGGAGACTACACTATGGTGCCCATCCAGAACCAAAGCCAAAACCATGTACCCAATTTACATTATGGATACATCAACAGGCAAAATTACTTTTCTATGAAAGCTACTTTGTAAAATTGGAAAAACTTAGTTATACCAGCTGTGGAAATATCAACGTAAGAACACATGAACATGAAAAATCAAGAAAACATGACATCGCCAAAGGAACACAATAATTCTCCAGTAACAGACTCCAAAGAAAAAAAAAATGAAATATCTGAAAATGAATTTAAATTAACGATCTTAAGGAAACTCAGCAAGATACAAGAGAATACAGATAAACAATATAAAGAAAACAGAAAAACAATTCATGAGCTGAATGAGAAATTCAACAAAGAGATAGATATCATAAAAAAGAACCAAACAAATCCCAGAGCTGAGGAATTTAGTGAATAAAATAAAAATACAACTGAGTACTTTAACAGTAGACTACACCAAACAGAAGAAAGAATTTCTGAACTTGAAGCTAGGTCTTTTGAAATAAATCAGGCAAAGGGGGTTGGAAGGTGTTGTGGAGGAAGAAAAGAAGAAAGGGAGAGAAAAGAAAGAATAAGGAAAGCCTAGGAGCATGGGAAACAAGCAAACAAATAAGAAAGAGAAAAGATTTTTTAAAATACTGCATGTTCCCTGTAATCCCAGCACTTTGGGAGGCCAAGGCGGGTGGATCATGAGGTCAAGAGATAGAGACCATCCTGGTCAATACAGTGAAACCCCATCTCTACTGAAAAAATACAAAAATTTAGCTGGGCATGGTGGCACGTGCCTATAATCCCAGCTAATCCAAAGGGCGGGGCAGGGAAAATCCCCAAACCCGGGGGGCGGGGTTTGCGGTGGGCCAAGATCGGCCATTGGCCCCCCATTTGGGGAAAAAAAAGCAAAACTCGGCCCCCAAAAAAAAAAAAAACACTGCATGTTCTTACTTATAAATGGGAGCTAAATAATGTGTACACGTGGACATAGAGTGTAGAATAATACACATTATTGGTGTGTAATAATGCTTGTGATTTTTGCACACTGATTTTGTATCCTGAGACTTTGCTGAAGTTGCTTATCAGCTTAAGGAGTTTTTGGGCTGAGACAGTAGGGTTTTCTAAATGTACACTAATGTTATCTGCAAGCAGAGACAATTTGATTTCCTCTCTTCCTATTTGAATGCACTTTATTCCTTTCTCTTGCCTGATTGCCCTGGACAGAACTTCCATTTGGGATATGGGCATGGGCAAAGACTTTGTGATTTAAACACCAAAAGCAATTGCAACCGAAGCCAAAATTGACAAATGGGATCTCATTAAACTAAAGAGCTTCTGCACAGCAAAAGAAACTATCCTCAGAGTCAACAGGCAACCTACAAAATGGAAGGAAATTTTTGCAATCTATCCATCTGACAAAGGGCTAATATTCAGAATCTACCAGGAACTTAAATAAATTTACAAGAAAAAAAAAAAACCTCATCAAAAAGTGGGCAAAGGATATGAACAGACACTTCCCAAAAGAAGACATTTATGCAGCCAACAAACATAAGAAAAAAAGCTCATCATCACTGGTCATTAGAGAAATGCAAATCGAAACCACAATGAGATACCATCTCCTGCCAGTTAAAATGGCAATCATTAAAAAGTCAGGAAACGAGATGCTGGAGAGGATGTAGAGAAATAGAAGCACTTTTACACATTTGGTGGGAGTGTACATTAGTTCAACCATTGTGAAAGACAGTGTGGCAATTCCTCAAGGATCTAAAACTAGAAACACCATTTGACCCAGCAATCCCATTACTGGGTATACACCCAAAGGATTATAAATCATTCTACTATAAATACACATGCACACATATGTTTACTGTAGCACCATTTACAATAGCAAAGACTTGGAACTACCCCAAATGCCCATCAATGATAGGCTGGATAAAGAAAATATGGCACATATACACTATGGAATACTATGCAGTCATAAAAAAGAATGAGTTTATGTCCTTTGTAGGGACATGGATGAAGCTGGAAACCATCATTCTCAGCAAATAACACAGGAAAAGAAAACCAAACACCACATGTTCTCACTTGTAAGTGGAAGCTGAACAATGAGAACACATGGACACAGGGAGGGAAACATGACATACCAGGGCCTGTCACAAGATGGGGTGCAAGAGGAGGGATAGCATTAGGACAAATACCTAATGGATGCAGGGGTTAAAACCTAGATGACGGGCTGACAGGTGCAGCAAACCACCATGGCACAGGTATACATACGTTAACAAACCTGCACATTCTACACATGTATCCCAGAACTTAAAGCAAAAATTTTTTATATTTTTTTAAATTCCAAGCAGTTAAAGTACTTTCCTTGTATATTTAAGTTATGCAATAAAAAGTTTAACACTATAATATAATGACAGAATACATGGTAGAGATTTAGAATCAGTTTTAAGCTATGTTACATCGTCGAAATATAAAAAAGGAATCTTACACTTAATAACTTTTGAAATTTTTGGCTAACTACCAAATTTGTAATTAAATCTTAAAAGAACAAGGACCTAGCCATATTCATGTGGTTTAGAAAATAAAGGAGTTCTTGCTCATCTTCATTTGTTTATCTACACACTTTGACTCCTTTATGTTGAGTTAATTATGATATTTATGCTGACTTCCTCCTCTTGGCACAGACCATGTAAATGGACATTGCACAAGTCCAACTTCCCAGAGTTGCAGTTCTGGAAAACGTCTTTCTAGTGCCGATGTTTCGAAAGTAAATCGCTGGGGTCCTGGAAGACCACCATTTCGAAAGGCCCAGTCAGCAGCTTGCATGGAGATTTCTTTACCAGTTACAACAGAAGGTATGTTAAACATATTAATTATTTTGTTATAGTTAAAATTTGGTTTACCATGATAATGGGAACTGAGAGATATAGGATGAAGATCACATGCAAAAGATATAAAAATCTACTAGTCGGTGAATAACTGACAGCCTGATGGGGCTGTGGCCATAACTCCAACTCCATTCCTCACTCCATCTCCTTCTTCACCTCTAAAACCAGAATGGCTCTGCTTATGGGTAACTACCCCCTCCTCTGTAAAAAGGGAGACCTATGCCTTAATCTGTTCTCTACCCTTCCCATAATAATTAAGAGTTTATTTCAATCTCAATATTAAGTTCATTGGTATCTCTACCTATAGATATTTAATATATAGCCACCTTAATTTCCTCAGTTATCAAATGAATGTGACCAAGAACAAAGGCAAGATATTAAATTCTAAAGTTTGCAATCTTCATCTATATTTTTCAAAGGAAGGACCATCTGCTTATTTATGGAATGAGTGTGGGGGTGTCAGGGGGGAGTAAAGTACAAGAGCCAGAGGCCAAAAATTTTTACAGAGGGTAAAAAAGGGAATACTGTAACTTTGCTGCAACTGTCTTATTGATAAAGAACTTTAGAGAGAGAGAGAGGAAAAAAATAATTTTAGGAAGATTTGCTATTCTATACTGTGAAGTAAGTCCCTATTTACTACTCCTGAAAACTTTTAACAGTGATCTATATTGTTGTTCAAATGTAAAAAAATTATATTTAAGTTTTTATATTTTTAAGCATTATGCTATACTAAATCTGATCCCTTAGACATGCAGATAATGATGTTATTTCTCTAACAGGTGTCTATGAGTAGCAACTTTGTATAGTGATGAACCATGAATGGAAAAGATTTGGAGCCATAAAATAGCTAGTATGTTATAAAAGATGCAATATGTAAGGATTATGAAAGAAGTAGCCCATTTTTAATTTTTATTTTTTTAAGAGATAGGAACTCATTCTGTTGCTGAGGTTGGATTACAGTGATGCACTACAGCCTCTAACTCCTGGACTCAGGTGATGCTCCTGCCTCAGCCTCCCAAGCACCTGGAGTACAGGTTCACACCACCACATCCAGCTTATTTTTCAGTTTTTATAGAGTCAGTGTCTCACTGTGTTCCCCAGGGTGGTCTTGAACTCCTGGCCTCAAGCACTCACTATGTTCCCCAGAGTGGTCTTGGGAATTTTGAATTTTAGATACTTCTAATTTGTCTAGATTCTGAGAAAATTACTAAACTGTCTCCAAATCTGTAAAATATATAACCTCCAAGCTCCCTCTCATCTCTAAATTGTATGACAAACAATTATTTTTATAAATTTCCTGAGAGATAAAAAGGAGAAATTAGGAATACTATATTTTGTTTCCTAGAAAAAAAAATAGTCTGAGGAACCTATATTTAGCCTCTTTCTAAAGCAATTATCAGTTACATGTGTACCTATCAAGAGGGAAAAGAGAGTGAAGGTTGTAGAAAGAAAAATATGAAGAACTTGTACTGTGGGGTGATTATAAGAGCAGGACAATATTGAAAACATTTCACTGAGCTGTATGAGTTTACGCTTATTGGAGTGTGCACATGTACAAGTGTTGATGAGAGGAGAGCCTGAAACAATCCTGTTTCCTTTAAGTGAGCTGAAGCACTCTCAGAAGGATTACCACTATCAACAGGATGGCATATAGTCTATACTCTTTATTTAGCCCTAAGCAAATTTAGGACTAAATTTGAATTAAAAGTAAGCAGCCTGAAACCATTTCTGGGAGATAAAATTTGCATTTTGGCCTTGGTAGAAATGTTAATTTTTACAATTGTAATTACTCCAGCTATAGAATATGTTTGCCACAGAAGATTTGTGATCCAGATAAGCCCTTCATGCAAATAGCCACAATATTGTCAGTAAGTTGGAATTGACAAGGAAATGTTAGGGATACTTCTAACAATTTAGAGGTAGGAGGGAAGCACAATTTAAGTGATATCAGAAATTCTTGTAACTGTTACTATTTAAACTGAATATTTTTTCTAGATAAAAGAATTTCAACTAACTTGTGAGTTAACGTAGAGAAATAAAACTGTTGAACAGGAACTGTTGAATTGGAGACTCCAATTCTAGTCCTAGGTCTGCCTAAGCTTATGAATTATACTTCTAGACTTCAGTTTCTCCATCGTCAAAATAAGCTAGTAAACTGGATAAGCTGCCTTCCAGGTCAATTAACAATAAAATTTTACTTCCTCCTCATAATTTTATTTTTATATTATTATAGTTATAATACTTTAAGTGCTGGGGTACATGTGCAGAACGTGCAGGTTTGTTACACAGTTATACACATGCCATAGTGGTTTGCTGCATCCATCACCCCATTATCTACATTAGGTATTTCTCCTAATGCTATCCCTCCCCTATCCCCCCAACCCCCTCCTATCCACCCCCTATCACCCCACCTCCTGACAGACCCCAGTGTGTGACATTCCCCTCCCTGTGTCCATGTGTTCTTATTGTTCAGCTCCCAGTTATGAGTGGGAACATGCAGTGTTTAGGTTTCTGTTCTTGTATTAGTTTGTTGAGAATGATGGTTTCCAGCTTCATCCATATCCCTGCAAAGGACGTGAACTCATCCTTTTAATGGCTCTATAGTATTTTATGGTGTATATGTGCCACATTTTCTTTATCCAGTCTATCATTGATGGACATTTGGGTTGGTTCCAAGTCTTTGCTATTGTGAACAGTGTCACAATGAACATACATGTGCATGTGCCTTTATAATAAAATGATTTATAATCCTTTGGGTATATACCCAGTAATAGGATTGCAGGTCAAATGGTATTTCTAGTTCTAGATCCTTGAGGAATCACCATACTGTCTTCCACAATGGTTGAACTAATTTACATTCCCACCAACAGTGAAAAAGCATTCCTATTTCTCCACATTCTCTCCAGTATCTGTTTTCCCCTGATTTTTTAATGATTGCTGTTCTAACTGGTGTGAGATGGTATCTCATTGTGGTTTTGATTTGCATTTATCCAATGATCAGTGATGATGAGCTTTTTTTCTTATGTTTGTTGGCTGCATATGTCTTCTTTTGAGAAGTGTCTATTCATATACTTTGCCCACTTTTTGATGGGGTTGCTTGTTTTTCTCTTGTAAATTTGTTAAAGTTCCTTGTAGATGCTGGATATTAGCCCTTTGTCAGATGGGTAAATTGCAAAAAAATTTTCCCATTCTGTTGGTTGCCAGTTCGCTATAATGATTGTTTCTTTTGCTGTGCAGAAGCTCTTTAGTTTAATTAGATCCCATTTGTCAATTTTGGCTTTTGTTGCCATTGCTTTTGGTGTTTTAGTCATGAAGTCCTTGCCCATGCCTATGTCCAGAATGGTATTGCCTAGGTTTTCTTCTAGAGTTTTTTATGGTTTGAGGTCTTACATTTAAATGTTTAATCCATCTTGAGTTAATTTTTGTACAAGGTGTAAGGAAGGGAACCAGTTTCAGTTTTCTGCGTATGGCTAGCCAGTTGTCGCAACACCATTTATTAAATAGGGAATCCTTTCCCCATTGCTTGTTTTTGTCAAGTTTGTCAAAGATCAGATGGTTGTAGATGTGTGGTATTCTTTCTGAGGCCTCTGTTCTGTTCCATTGGTCTATATATCTGTTTTGGTACCAGTACCATGCTGTTTTTGTTACTGTAGCTTTGTAGTATAGTGTGAAGTCAGGTAGCATGATGCCTCCAGCTTTGTTTTTTTGTTTTGTTTTGCTTAGGATTGTTCTATATGAAATTTAAGGGTTTTTTTTTTTCCAATTCTGTGAAGAAAGTCAATGGTAGCTTTATGGGGATAGCATTGAATCTATAAATCACTTTGGGTAGTATGGCCATTTTCATGATATTTATTCTTCCTATCCATGAACATGGAATGTTCTTCCATCTGTTTGTGTCTTCTCTTATTTCCTCTAGCAGTGGTTTGTAGTACTACTTGAAGAAGTCCTTCACATCTCGTTAGTTGTATTCCTAGGTATTTTATTCTCTTTGTGGCAGTTGTGAATGGCAGTTCACTCATGATTTGGCTCTCTGTTTGTCTCTTATTGTTGCATAGGAATACTTGTGGTTTGCACATTGACTTTGTATTCGAGACTTGCCAAAGTTGCTTATTAGCTTAAGGAGATTTGGAGACAATGGGGTCTTCTAAATATACAATCAAGTCATCTGTAAATAGAGACAATTTGACTTCCTCTTTTCCTAATTGAATATGCTTTATTTCTTTTTTTGCCTGATTGCCCTGGCCAGAACTTCCAATACTATGTTGAGTAAGAGTGGTGAGAGAGGGCATCATTGTCTTGTGCTGGGAATGCTTCCAGGTTTTGCCCATTCAATATGATATTAGCTGTGGATTTGTCCTAAATAGCTCTTATTATTTTGAGATACATTCCATCAATAACTAGTTTACTGAGAGTTTTTAGCATAAAGCATTGTTGAATTTTGTCAAAGGCCTTCTCTGCATCTATTGAGATAATCATGTGGTTTTTCTCATTGGTTCTGTTTATGTGTTGGATTACATTTATTGATTTGTGTATCTGGAACCAACCCTGCATCCCAGGGATGAAGCTGACCTGATCATGATGGATAAGCTTTTTTATGTGCTGCTGGATTCAGTTTGCCAGGTTTTTTTTGAGGATTTTTGCATTGATGTTCCTCAGGAATATTGGCCTAAATTTTCTTTTTTCATTGCGTCTCTGCCGGGTTTTGGAATCAGGATGATGCTGGCCTCATAAAATGAGTTAGGGAGGAGTCTCTCTTTTTGTATTGTTTGGAATTATTTCAGAAGGAATGGTACCAGCTCCTCTTTCTATCTCTGGTAGAATTTACCTGTGAACCTGTCTTGTCCTGGACTTTTTTTTGGTTGGTAGGCTATTAATTCCTGCCTCAATTTCAGAATTTGCTATTGGTCTATTCAGGGATTTGACTTTTCCTGGTTTAGTCTTGGGTTGGTATCTGTGTCCAGGAATTTATCCATTTCTTCTAGATTTTCTAGTTTATTTGCGCAGATGTATTTATAGTATTCTCTGATGGTAGTTTGTATCTCTGTGGGATTGTTAGTGATATTTCCTTTATCATTTTTTATTGTATCTATTTGATTCTTCTCTCTTTTCTTCTTTATTAGTCTGGCCAGTAGTCTATCTATTTTATGATCTTTTCTAAAACCCAGCTCCTGGATTCATTGATTTCTTGAAGGGTTTTTTGTTTCCCTATCTCCTTCAGTTCTGCTCTAATCTTAGTTATTTCTTGTCTTCTGCTAGCTTTTGAATTTGTTCTTGTTCCTCTAGTTCTTTTAATTGTGACATTACAGATTCAATTTTATGTCTTTCTTTCTTCCTTTTTAGTGCTATAAATTTTTCTTTTTAGTGCTATAAATTTCCCTCTACACACTACTTTAAATGTGTCCCAGAGATTCTGGTACATTGTGTCTTCGTTCTCAGTGGTTTCAAAGAACTTATTTATTTCTGCCTTCATTTCATTATTTATCCAATAGTCATTCAGAAGCAGGTTGTTCAGTTTCCATGTAGCTGTGTGGTTTTGAGTGAGTTTTTTAATTCTGAGTTCTAATTTGATTGCACTGTGGTCTGAGAGACTGTTTCTTGTGATTTCCATTCTTTTGCATTTGCTGAGGAGTGTTTTACTTCCAATTATGTGGTCAGTTTTAGAGTAAATGTGATGAATGTGGTGCTGAGAAGAATGTATATTCTGTTGATTTGGGGTGGAGAGTTCTGTAGATATCTATTAGGTCCGCTTGGTCCACAGCTGAGTTCAAGTCCTGGATATCCTTGTTAATTTTCTGTCTCATTGATCTGTCTAATATTGACAATGGGGTGTTAAAGTCTCCTACTATTATTGTGTGGGAGTCTAAGTGTCTTTGTAAGTCTCTAAGAACTTGCTTTATGAATCTAGGTGCTCCTGTATTGGGTGCATATGTAATTAGGATAGTTAGTGCTTCTTGCATTGATCTCTTTACCATTATGTAATACCCTTCTTTGTCTCTTGATCTTTGTTGGTTTAAAGTCTCTTTTATCAGAGACCAGGATTGCAATCTCAGCTTTTTTTTTTTTCTCTCCATTTGCTTGGTAAATATTCCTTCTTCCCTTTATTTTGAGCCTATGCGTATCTTTGCACTTGAGATGCATCTCCTGAATACAGCACACCGATGGGTCTTGACTCTTTAACCAATTTGCCAGTCTGTATCTTTTAATTGGGACATTTAGATAATTTACATTTAAGATTAATATTGTTATGTATGAATTTTATCCTGCCATTATGATGTTAGCTGGTTATTTTGCCTGTTAGTTGAGGCAGTTTCTTCATAGTGTTGATGGACTTTACAATTTAATATGTTTTTGCAGTTGCTGGTAACAGTTGTCCCTTTCCATGTTTAGTGCTTCCTTCAGGAGCTCCTGTAAAGCAGGCCTGATGGTGACAAAATCTCTCAGCAGTTGCTTGTCCATAAAGGATTTTATTTCTCCTTTCCTTATGAGGCTTCTTTGGCTGGATATGAAACTCCAGGTTGAAAATTTTTTCTTTAAGGATGTCAGCTATTGGCCCCCACTCTCTTCTGGCTTGTAGGGTTTCTACCAAGAGATCCCCTGTAAATCTGGTGGGTTTCCCTTTGTGGGTAACCCGACCTTTCTCTCTGGCTGCCCTTAGCATTTTTTCCTTCATTTCAACCCTGGTGAATTTGACAATTATGTGTCTTGGGGTTGCTCTTCTTGAAGAGTATCTTTGTGGTGTTCTGTATTTCCTGAATTTGAATGTTGGCCTGCCTTGCTAGGCTGGGGAAGTTCTCCTGGATAACATCCTGAAGAGTGTTTTCCAACTTAGTTTCATTCTCCCCATCACTTTCAGGTACACTGATCAAACATAGATTTGGTTTTTTCACGTAATCCTGTATTTCATCAAGGCTTTGTTCATTTATTTTCACTCTCTTTTCTCTAATTGTTTTTTCACTTTAATTCATTGAGTCAATCTTCAATCTCTGATATTTTTTCTTCTGCTTGATCAATTCAGCTATTGATACTTGTGTGTGCTTCATGAAGTTCTCTTGCTGTATTTTTCAGCTACTCAGGTTATTTATGTTCTTCTCTAAACTGGTTATTCTTGTTGGCATTTTGTCTAACCTTTTTTCAAGGTTCTTAGCTTCCTAGGATTGGGTTAGCACATGTTCCTTTAGCTTGGAGAAGTTTGTTATTACCCACCTTCTGAAGCCTGCTTCTGTCAATTCGTCAAACTCATTCTCTGTCCGGTTTTGTTTCCTTGCTGGTGAGGAGTTGTGATACCTTGGAGGAGAAGAGGTGATCTGGTTTTTGGAATTTTCAGCCTTTTTGTACTGGTTCCTTCCCATATTCGTGGATTTTATTTACCTTTGGTTTTTGAAGTTAGTGGCCATTGGATGGGGTCTCTGAGTGGACATCCTTTCTGTCGATGTTGAAACTATTTCTTTCTGTTTGTTTGTTTTTCTTCTAACAGTCAGACCCTTCTGCTCTTATCATATAGGTGCAAGCCACTGCACCCAGCAATTTAAAAAAGTAAAAAAAGTCTGCTTTAGTTTGCTGGAGGTTCACTCCAGACCCTGCTTGCCTGGGAATCACCAGTGGGGGCTGCAGAACAGCAAAGATTGCTGCCTGTTTCCTCCTCTGGTACCTTCCTCCCAGAAAGGTACCCACCAGATGCTAGCCAGAGCTCTCCTGTATGAGGTGTCTGTCGGCCCCTAGTGGGATTTGTCTCCCAGTCAGGATACCTGGGGTCAGGGAACCACTTGAGGAGGCAGTCTTTCCTTTATCAGAACTTGAATGCTGTGCTGGAAGATCCACTGCTCTCTTCAGAGCTGCCAGGCAGGGACATTTAAGTCTGCTGAAGCTGTACCCACAACCGCCCCTTTTACCAGGTGCTCTGTCCCAGAAAGGTGGGGACTTTATTTATAAGTACCTGATGGGCTGCTGCCTTTTTTCAGAGATGCCCTGCCCAGTAAGAGGGGAGTCTAGTGACATAGTCTGCCCGCAGAGGCCTTGCTGAGCTGCATGAACTCCACCCAGTTCAGACTTCCCAGCTGTGATATTAAAATCGCCTACTGGAGCCTCAGCAATGGTTAATGCCCCTCCCTTCACTGAACTCAAAGGTCACAAGTCAAGCTCAGACTGTGCTGGCTGTGAGAATTTCAACCCAGTGGATCTTAGCTTGCTGGTCTTCATGGTGGGGGAAACCACCAAGCCAGATCACTTGGCTCCCTGGCTTCAGCTCCCTTTCCAGGGAAGTGAATGGTTCTGTCATGCTGGTGTTCCAGGCACCACTGGGGTATGAAAAAAAAAAAAAAGCTGCTTTGGCTAGCTGGGTGTCTTCCCAAACAGCCGCCCAGTTTTGTGCTGGAAACCCAGGGCCGTGGTGTTGTAGGCATCAGAGGTAATCTCCTGGTCTGTGGGTTGTGTAGACCATGGGAAAAGCACAGTATCTGGGCTGGAGTGCAGGGGGCAGTCCCTAATGGTTTCCCTTGGCCAGGAGAGGGATTTTCCTGGCCCCTTGTGCTTCCCAGGTGAAACAATGCCCTATCCTGTCTTGGCTTGCCCTTCTTGGGCTGCACCCACTGACCAACCAGTCCCAATGAGATTAACCAGGTACCTCAACTGGAAATGCAGAGATCACCTGTTTTCTGCGTCGATCTTGCTGGCAGCTGCACACTAGAGCTGTTCCTATTTGGCCATCTTGCCAGCCTCTAATTTTGATTTTTATAAATTAAATCTGACCTTACTTGTTGTGAACATACACTAACAATTTTGTGGGGTTTTTTATTTGTTTCCATAGAAAACCGAGAAAATTCCTATAATCGTTCTAGAAGCTCTAGCATCTCCAGTATTGACAAAGATTCTAAAGAAGCAATTACAGCACTATACTTCATGGAATCATTTGCACGGAAAAATGACTCTGCCATCTCTCCTTGTCTGTTTGTTGGAACCAGTTTGGGAATGGTGTTAATTATCTCCCTCAACCTACCATTAGCAGATGAACAAAGGTTTACAGAGCCGGTTGTTGTATTGCCAAGTGGTAAGAGTTTGTATTTATTCATTCATTCACTGTTACTTTTTCAAATTTAGATATAAGGTATTATAAAACATAAATTTGTATTGATTTAGAGCAAAGGTTATAAGTATTCTGCACATGGGAACTATTAAGAATTTTATACATCATATACCATCCCAACATTTGTCATATTGTAACATACCTTTCATTTGGGGTAAAAGAGTACAAGCATTTCTTTGGCAGTAAACTGTGAAAGTGCCAACTTAAACAATGATTTGAGAAATAAGTTCCTGAAAAGCACTGAGGATAACCTTAATGCAAAACTTAAATTTATTTTTAAGAAATTGAAGCATTTATCCAAAGTTCCATGCCAGATCAGAGCATGTGAATATTTTTACATTATCCTTGAAGACCTCAGAATAATTAAGCTAGAAGCTGTCTGACCTAAGGTGGATTTCTAAAGTCTTTTATAATCTTCTCATCTTGTTTCAAAGGCGTGCCACACAATTTCTTTCCTTTTTATACTAGTGCCTAGAGAATTTGACCAATGTTATAAGTATTGTTGCCAAGCATATGTTGTATTCTCTTCCTTCTTGAATTATCTTTTTTCTTTTTGAAGAAGAGATGAGTATGATTCCTCCTGTTATTCCTAATTTGTTCTTATCACTAATTTTATTATCTCCATTTCCTATATAAGAAATTTTCAGATAGTTTTTAAGTTAAAAAAATTTCATTAATCCATACGATAGGGGCTTTATTTTAAAAGCATATATTTTATGTAGAAGGTTACAGTTGTGTTTTCTTTAACTGATGTGCTAAGTTCATATGACAAAATTGTAGGTAGAATAGTCAGTTCTCTACTAAAGTGGCAAATTCAGATTTGTGTTTTAAAAGTTAATCATGATGATCATTTTAATATATAGTTCACAATAAGATAACTTTTACTGTATTCCTAATTATAAGGAAATACACAAAATTCTTTTGACTTGTGAGTTAGTTGGAGTCAAATCAGTGAGATCATAATGAATCATTAATTATTAATTCAGTTTATTCTTTTTTTCCATTTATTTATTTCATTGCATTTTAGGTTTTGGGATACATGTGAAGAACATGCAAGATTGTTGCATAGGTACACACGTGGCAGTATGATTTACTGCCTTCCTCCCCATCACGTACATCTGGCATCTCTCCCCTTGCTATCTCTCCCCAGGTCCCCACCCCCTCCGTCCCTCCCCTATTTCCCCCCAACTGACCCCAGTGTGTAGTGCTCCCCTCCCTGTGTCCATGTGTTCTCATCATTCAACACCCGCCTATGAGTGAGAACATGCGGTGTTTGATCTTCTGCTCTTCTGTCAGATTGCTGAGAATGATGGTTTCCAGGTTCTTCCATGTCCCTACAAAGGACACAAACTCATCGTTTTTGATGGCTGCGTAATATTCCATTGTGTATATGTGCCACATTTTCCCTGTCCAGTCTATCATCGATGGGCATTTGGGTTGGTTCCAGGTCTTTGCTATTGTCAACAGTGCTGCAATGAACATTCGTGTGCACGTGTCCTTATAGTAGAACGATATATAATCCTTTGGATATATACCCAGTAATGGGATTGCTGGGTCAAATGGAAGTTCTATTTCTAGGTCCTTGAGGAATCGCCAACTGTCTTCCACAATGGTTGAACTAATTTACACTCCCACCAACAGTGTAAAAGTGTTCCTATTTCTCCACATCCTCTCCAGCATCTGTTGTCTCCAGATTTTTTAATGTTCGCCATTCTTACCGGCGTGAGATGGTATCTCAATGTAATTGATTTGCATTTCTCTGATGACCAGTGATGATGAGCATTTTTTCATATGTTTGTTGGCCTCATGAATGTCTTCTTTTGTAAAGTATCTGTTCATATCCTTTGCCCACTTTTGAATGGGCTTGTTAGTTTTTTTCTTGTAAATCTGTTTTAGTTCTTTGTAAATTCTGGATATCAGCCCTTTGTCATATGGGAAAACAGCAAAAATTTTTTCCCATTCTGTTGGTTGCCAATTCACTCTAATGACTGTTTCTTTTGCTGTGCAGAAGCTGTGGAGTTTGATTAGGTCCCATT